CTAGATGTGCTCCATCTCACGGGCCCCTCCCAGCAGCCCTTGAAGATAGCAATCTTCAATTCGGAGAAGCACAGTGCCTTTACCAAAGTCATATAGCTGGTAAAGTGGTAAGGTCAAGGGACAAGCCCAGGTAGTCTGCGCCCAGCTCCTAACCCCTCTCCCCACCTACCCCTTTCTTAGCTGCTGCTGGCTTCTTCTTGCCAATGATGGAGCTTTTCAGTTCTGCGTGAGAAAGTGGGTGGGTATGAGCTAAGACAAAGGCAGCTCAGAGGCAGCAGCTCAGTCCACACCATGCAGCTTCATGGCAAGAGCCCCTAAGAACAAATTCAGGCAGGGGAAGGCAAAGCTGCCACCACCAGCTCCAACCAGCGGTGTCCAAGCCAAAGACAGACGTGGCTGGGGTATTTGCTGGCGCCCAGCAGTGAGACAGAAACCTAGACCTGAAGCACCAGAGACGCTCAAAGCCCCTGAACAAAAACAAAAACTGCAAGGCAGGGGCGAGACGGTGAGCACCAGGCTCAGCTCCTAAGGCAGGAAGCTGTGGGCAGGGCCCAGGGTCCCCAAGCAGCTGTCAGTTACCTCCGGCAGGAAGGGTCCCTTTAGCTGACAGATACATGGACTCTGGAGGAGAAACAGACTTGTGGCTAACAAGACGCCCACCCCAGAGCCGCCAAAGAGCTCCTAGGCCCAGCGATCTCTATGAAGCCCTGCTTCACCAAGCTATGCCAGCCTTCTCATGGATCAGTCTGACAGTCACTCTGCTGCATTCCAGCCCCAACCCCCAAGAGTCAACAGAACAAACTGAGGTCAGCAAATGGACTGTTCACCCTGAACCAAGGCTGAAGGACACTAAGGAAAATGTAGAAAAGAGTTAAAGGATAGGCTGGGGGCTGGCTGAGAAGGGACAATGTCACCTGCAGCTATCAGCAGCTCAGAGCTGTCCCTCCACCCCAGGAAATGGGCCAGACAAGCCAGCCCTACCTCACGGCCCAGGGACAGGTGTCCAGTCTCATGCTGGCCTCCCCAGCACTTTGGCTAGACCCAGCCCCACACTCAGAGGCTGACCCCAGGCCTTATATACCGGCCCACCCAGATTTATCAATTCAAATGGCTTGGCTCTAAAATCAGCGTTGCAGCCACCATTTTAATCATAGTCCCCACTCCAGAGAGGTCAGACGGATGCTCAGTCTCCTGTGGCCTCTGTCCACACAGCCAGGCAGGAGGAGCTCTGAAAAGAACATTTGAGGTCCACCCTTTCCCAGCCACCCCATGCCCGCCCACTGGCATACTGACCCAGTGAGGCTTTGGGTGAGGTGCCAAGCAGGTCTGTGTTGGGGCCATGCTCTGGCTCTGTGGATGCAATGGTAGGAGTTAGAGATGAAGCTCCTAGCTTCCTGCAACCTCCCCTCGAGAGAAGTGATGGGACAAGAGTCAGTGGCTTTCCTCAGCTTGCCACCAAAAGAGAAAAGGAGTATCTACCACTTCCTCCCAGGATTAAAATGAATCCCGGCCCCCCCAAAGATACAGGAGGACCCTACTCCTATTCTCACGGCCAGATATGCCCTTACAAACCCCAACTCCTTTCCTAGGACCAGGGCACCTGGTTGGAATCTGGGCTGAACTCACGTGCCAGGCCACTGCTTTCTGCAGACGACGCTGACTGCTGGGTCCCTGAAGGCTCAGTGGCTGGTGCATCCCAGGAAGGGGGCTGAAAAGGAGGCCAGATCACAGAAGTTTTGGTGAGCCGCTCCTGCTGTCAGGGAGCATCAAGACCTACAAGCACCTTGTGGGCAAGAGATCGTACTCCAAGCCCACGAGGAAAGGGACTGGAGAGTAGCAACTGTGATCTCAAACGAGATCTACTCACCGTGGAAGAAAGCAGGAAACAAGCAACCCCACCCCAAGCCCTTTACTATTAAAGCCAGAGCCCATTCCCCTAACTTAAAAATGGTTAACTGCCACCACCTAGGCAGGCGCACATCCAAAGGCTCCTCACATACAAATACATTTAATTATCACAATAACCCCTTCGAGGGAGCTACGTCTCCATTTTAGAAACTGAGGTTTTGACAGGTTAACTTGACCACCATCAGAGAAAAGCTGAGTAGAGAACATCAGAGTCAAACTTCAGCACCCAGTGCCAATAAGGAAGAAACCCTCCTCAAAGGGGTGGGGCGGGGAGGAGGGAGTCCTTTCACTGACCCCCAGCACAGTGCCTTTCTTATAGGGGAAGAATCCAGGAAAACGTTTTTGGGGCCCCAGACACCTCTTGAATCTTCAAGAAGCTGCTCCTCTTCCCCACCTGCCCAGCTTATTTATAGGAAGCTATTTCTAAGGAGGGCTATACTGCACCCCCATTTATGGAGGAGAAAACACCTGGGCCTACCCAGCAGGAGCAGTGGACTCCAGATATAGTGTCCGAGACATCACACCAAAGCAAATGGCATCTATGGCCATGATCACAGAAGGCCCCGACCTTGGTAAATAAACTGTCAAGAACTGGGAAAAACATTCCTTGTGGGCACTCACTTGAGTGTGTTCTGTGAAGAAATCAGAGTCCTTCTTTTCCGGGGAGTGACTAGGAACAGCACTACTCATGTTGTCTATCCAAAGCTAGAAAGGAGAAGGCACCCCTGAAACACAGGGCTCTGAATATTCCTGCTCACCCTCCTGCCCCAGCTCCAAGAACAGGCACTTACATCAGTGCCGTGCCTAGCCAGGGCCGCACTCCCCAGCTGCCGGATCTTCTCCCGGTACATCTGGGCAGCTCGGCTATTGTATTTGGTGTTGGCATCATTGGCCGTGCATCCATGTTGGCGGAAAAAAGCTGTCTGGAAAGCAAAGAGAGCAGCACGTGCTACAGGTGATTCTCAAGAAGGAAACGTGTTGACTGTAGGAGGCATCCCCTTACCACAGCTGAGTTATTATCATCTTTACAGGATGATACGTCCTATTGACACCAGTTTTTCGAGGTAAAGTTCCTCGAATTCCTGCAAAAAAACAACTTGCAGCATGCCATCCTCTGATATGACTGACATCCAGCCCTCACTGCACCTGGCCTGAGGACAGCATGCCATTCCCAGTCTCCCCATCCTTGGTCCAGGACAGGCCCACAAGACACAATGACTGTGAAGGCTCCAACTCCTGTGGCTTTTCCCCAAGAACACCTGCCCAGTTTAATTGGAATTTGAAACCCATTTAAGAGAAACTGTGACCAGTTTCGAAGTTTTTAAAAAATAGCGTACAGTGGTGTTACAAAACAGAGAAGCCTCTGAACAGGGAAACTGAGAGGGCCCCTTAGGGAGTTGTGCAAAGTTAGTACCCAGGCAGAAGAACAGAAGGTGGGGGAGGTAGAAGGAGCTTTACCGCATTGGCATTTCCGCCGACCTGCATACATCTCAGCTGGAACCAGTTCCAGTTGGAATCCAACTCTGTGGACCTGTGTACAAGGGCTGCGTCTCACCCACCAGCAGATACCAGGAGAGGGGTTTCCCTGGCCACCCGATACCTGTCATTTGGCCTCAGGCTGCTCTAGGCACCCAGGAAACAATCAGCCATCACCCCATTTCCTCCACACTACCCTGTCTTTGCTCTTCATTCATCCACTCCAAAGAGTACTAATTATGTCCCCAGATCCGAAAGGAGGTCACATTCTCAGGCATACACGCCTGGATTTGGCTTTCCCCTAAGGGATGGTCACATTCTCACTAGAGTCATACTGGGCCAACAACGTAACAGCAACAACAAGGTCAATGCCTCCCTTTCCCCGCAACTAACGCTCAGAGTCTCAAATTTGACCGTCAAAAAAAGAGAGTTTTGACCCAGAGGCGAAGACGACCGCCTATGTGCCAAGCGGCCCACACAGGTGGTTCCCTTCAGCAGGAGGCTACCGGACCCTCGGCCCTGAGGCTTCCGAACACCGAATTCACAGCGGTCCAAGTCGAGACAGCCACTCACTCTTGCTGTCCACACAGCCCTGGCGGGCCAGGTGGAAACACAGCAACCGCGCGGAGACCCCACCTGATGAAGCTCAGATGGACGCCGAGAGAGCGGTGCACCCCAGAGCAGTCAATGCACAAGAAAACGCCATACGTGATGCTGGCCCAACTCGGATTCTTGGCGCCGCAATCGAAACACGCCTGGGTGGAGGAGGCGATGAGCGAATGGTTAGGGGCCCCGAGTAAAGGCCGGGCGCCGACAACCCAGGAAAACAGCCCACCTCCGCCCTTCTCCCTCCCTCAGGCCCCAGGGGAACGAGAGACTCCGCGCGCCCCCTGCTCACGCACCTTGTTGGTTGGAACTGCGCGAAGCCTCTTAAAAAGGGTCTGGATTTCGGTCTTGCTCGGTTCCGCCGCCATTTTCTCTCCTTCCCAGACACAACCGCGACCGACGGGTCCCGCCGCAGGCCAATCCACGGCGGGGAGGGCGGGCTCGCCAGTGCCTCGGCCAACCGAGGGGTGGAGTGACTGGGGCACAATCTGGACCAATGGGCAGCAGGCGGGATGGGGGCGGCGACGTCAGCCACGGCCGCAAGAATCAACGCCGTGCCGGGCCAATCCGCAGCCGGGGAGGAGCGACCGCGCGCGGGCCGGCCCAAACCTCCTCGCGCGCGCCGCCCCGACGCCGGGACTCCCAGGTGGAGTCGCCCCCGCGCGGCGCGAGCGGCGGGAGGCTTCAGGTGGGGACCCCCTACTCCAGCCAATTACAGATCGGTGAATAAGGAGTAGCAGTCTGCCCAAACACTCCTCGTTCCTCCGGCCTGAACGGGCAGACGCACTGGCTGGCCTCTCGCCCAGCCTCCTGCTGTTCTCGGCTCACAGCAAGCCAAACAATGAGTCCCTTCCACTCCAGATTAGGATCTCAAAGTTCCAGGGCAGGTACCACGCAGGCAAACCCTTTTCCAACCCCGGCCCCATAACAGACGCTAGGCCTCTCTCCAGATGCCCTCTGGAGGCCTGGCACGGTGTCCTATCAAAAAGATGCACATGAGCCCGACAGTGTTTTTTTTTGTCAAGTTTTAATACACGCTAGAACAAGCCACAAAAGAGGGTGTTGCTAGGCCGGAACTACACTCACCCCAAGCCCACTCCAGGAACCCCAAAGCAGAGGTCAGGAACTGGGTCCACAGCTCCTAGGGAGGCCCAGGCACCCCTGAATCATTCTGTCACCTCTGACCTCGCATCTTGCCCTCATCCAAGACTCAGTTGGCCCTTCCCTACCAGTCCCTTTCTAGACAGGCCCTTTCCCTCCCTGGGTCCCAGGATTTCCTCCCTCAAGGGACAGAGGAGCAGCAGGGGAGCGATGGTTGAGGGCCCTGAGGGTCCAGCTGTCCAGGAGAAGCCGGGCTCTGCCCCAGGGTGTGAAAACGTCGCCGAGGGGCTTTCAGGGCACTCAGGCGCCCACACACTCCACGTAATTGGCAGGGTACAGGCCAATGCGGCCGCTCTGCAGCTGGCCCTGGCACCAGCCCTGCTCATCCTCCTCGCTCATTTTCAGCAGCTCCTCCCCTGGGGGAAGGGGGATTGGTCACTGACAGTGGCCCTGGCCCAGCCCGTTCCTGCAACTGAGTCAAGCACTGAGGGGGATCGTGTGGTCCCAGAGCCCAGACAGGGCTCAGGCATAGGTAGGTCAAAGTCAGCAAGCTGCCCCACCCCAGATCCCGAATGCAGCCACGGGGCCCCAGCTGTCTGGCTGTACCCAGAACAGCTGAAGGGCCAGAGGACTGGCGCTTGAGAAGTGGGTAGGTGGCTTCCCTTTCCCACACCCCGCTCAGTGGGGTAAGGCAGAGACCGAAGCCTGGAAGGGAACAGGAAAGGGGTCCCAGGGTACCTGCTCGGAAGCTCAGCTCATCAGCTTCCTGCCCCGCGTAGTCATAGAGTGCCCGCACCCGCACCCCGGTGGCAGCCTTCCGGGGACTCTCTTCATCTGACCACTCCTCATCCTGCCCCGTGCTGGAGAGGGGAGGCAAAGGGAGCAGCTCAGAGTGCAAGCAACACAGGGCTGAAGATCTCACTGGGATTAGGGCAAAGGCCTCCCCACCCCCAGAGGCACCTGGGAGAGGCAGGTGAGGTGCTGAAAGATTCTAGCTCTACCTCGCCATGCGGGGCTGTAAGCAAAGAGGCAATCCCTGCCACACAATGCCGATTTAAGGCATAAGGGAGAGGAAACTCGGGCAATGCCTGGCAAATCTAAACCACCATGAGAACCGCTATCATTACAACTCCTAAGTTGGCCCTCAGGTCCCTAGCACCAATTTTCAACCCATTTCAGGTGTGAAGGGAATGAAACCAAGGAGAAAGGAAAGGAAGGCGGGAGGCAGAGCTGTTTCTTTGCCACAGCCACGCTCCTGGCTCTCACCCGGGGGACCCCAGGGACTGGGGTGGGGGTGCGGTGCAATCCCTTGTGGACACGATGCTGGTCAGGGTAACCTCATCAGGGCTCCGGCCACCCTTCTCTTTCCGGCTGATTGTCCTCTGTGTGTCCAAGGACCACTCCTATGGGGACAGCACTTACAGTCAGGCGGGGATGCTGCTTGGGCACAGCCAGGCCCATCCAGACTACCTTCACTTCATCCCTAGCCCTGGCTGAGCCGAGTGGGACCCCATCCCACCTCCCAGCCCCACCCCGCCTGGAACACGTGCCTCAAACTGTGGCCAGTTCATGGCCATGCCCGGCCCGTGGGTGCTGCGCCACCAGCGCAGATCCTCTTCGTCACTGGCTGCCTCGATGCTCTCGTGCAAGTTGCGGTGCAGTTCATGGAACCTATGGCCCAAGGCATTCCCTCAGTCTAGGAAGTCCTGGACCCCACATCCCCCAGTCTCAGCCAGAGCCTGGGGGAGACGGAGGGGACCCAGCACTACCCCAGATCTCCATGCCCACCAGGCAGCCCATACTTCTCACTGCTGGAAAGGTCGAGGTGCTGGTGTAAGGTGAGCAGCATATCCTTGAAGAAAAGAAGCCGCTGGCGCTCAGCGGCCTGGCAGGTCTCGAAGGCCTGCTCCATGTCCTCCATGTAGCGTGGAGTGTAGCGATGCAGTTCTGCAAGCGTCTGCTCGTACTGAGCTTTTGTCTGGGTGGGGGAGGAGGGGCCTGGTGAGGACCAGACCTTCTTCCACTCTGGACTTCACTAGTATTTACCAGACACTGCCATGGGCTGCTAAACCCAGGGCTAGCCACGAGGGGCCATCAGTCCTAAGACCCAGTTCCTGCCCTCAAGGACCCCAGCAGCCTAACAAGGGAGGTGACATCAGACACAACAGATAAAAGCATCTGGTATGGCTCACTCCTGTAATCCTAGCACTTTGGGAGGCCAAGGTGGGTGGATCATGAGGTCAGTTCAAGACCAGCCTGGCCAAAATGGTGAAACCCCGTCTCTACTAAAAATACAAAAGTTAGCTGGGTATGGTGGCGTGCGCCTGTAATCCCAGCCACTTAGGAGGCTGAGGCAGAATTGCTTGAACTGGAACCCAGAGGCAGAGGTTGCAGTGAGTTGAGATCGCGCCACTGCACTGGGCTACAGAGCAAGGCTCCATCTCAAAAGAAAAAAGTCCACCTCGCCGGGCGCGGTGGCTCAAGCCTGTAATCCCAGCACTTTGGGAGGCCGAGGCGGGTGGATCACGAGGTCAAGAGATCGAGACCATCCTGGTCAACATGGTGAAATCCCGTCTCTACTAAAAATACAAAACATTAGCTGGGCATGGTGGCGCATGCCTGTAATCCCAGCTACTCGGGATGCTGAGGCAGGAGAATTGCCTGAACCCTGGAGGCAGAGGTTGCGGTGAGCCGAGATCACGCCATTACACTCCAGCCTGGGTAACAACGTGAAACTCCATCTCAAAAAAAAAAAAAAAGAAGAAAAAAGTCCACCTCATATTTCACACAGAGTTAAAAATAATAAATAAATAAAAGTCTACCACCTGTAATACCAGTACTTTGGGAGGCCGAGGCATGCAGATCACGAGGTCAGGTGATCAAGACCATCCTGGCCAACATGGTGAAACGCTGTCTCTACTAAAATACAAAAAATTAGCTGGGTGTGGTAGCACATGCCTGTAGTAGTCCCAGCTACTCAGGAAGCTGAGGCAGGGGAATCACTTGAACCTGGGAGGCAAAAAGGTTGCAGTGAGCGGAGATTGTGCAACTGCACTCCAGCCTGGGTGGCAGAGAAAGACTCTGTTTCAAAAAAAAAAAAAAAAAAAAAAGTCTGGTGGAGAGTGAAATTAGGTCAACCTACAGAAAAGAATGGGAGAAATCAGAAAAGGCTTCCTGGAGGAGGTGGAAACTGTGCAGCATCTCAGGATGCGGAGGATTTGCATATGCAGAGCTGCAGGAAAGGACACTTCGGGCAGAGCAGGCAATACAGGACATTGCGCAAGGAAAAGAGCTGGAAGTTCTCGACTGCTGAAGTCATCCCAATGCCTGAAACTCCATTTCCTTCCCTAGGTAAGGCATCACCTTTTGTCAGGTTCCTCCTTTAAATGATTATCTGGAGAGAGGGTGGCAGGTGGGGATTAGGGTAATAAGAGTGCTGGGGACTGGACAAGGTTTTCGAGGAGCAAGATTCATTCAGGAAGCCGTGCCCTGGGCAGGGACCAGGCCTGGGACCTGCAGCCTGTACCTTCTCGGCCTCCTTGGCACAGCGTTCCACCCGTTCCTGCAGTTTGCGCAGCTGCTCCTGGGAGACGGCGCTGTCTGCCTTCGCGTGGCTCTCCCTCGTCTGGGATGTCTTCTCATCCTTCCGGGATGCGTGGTAGCTCTTCTTGGAAGCTTCAACCTGGCATGCACAAGGACCACTCTGGACCCTGGATGCCACGCCCTGGCCCCCTCGAGCCCTTGCAGACCAGGAAGGAGCCTGCCTCGAATACCTCTCCCACCGAGCCTCACCTCTTTCAGCCTCTTCAGCCACGGCTTCTGGGCCTTGCGGAAGCCATCCTCCGCTGCCCGGCTCTCACGGAAGCCGCCCAGCACAGGCCGGTGGAAGGCCCCCCGCTGCCAGGCGCGCACCCGCTCACTGTCCTGCCCTTGCAGCTTCTCCCGCACCTCCAGGTGCATCGCGCTCAGCCGCTCGGCCGCCGTGAAGAAGGCGTGCCAGGCCTTCTCCAGTGTGCCATACTGGGGGCCTGCGGGGAGGGACAGGGCTTGGGCCAGGCCTGGGTACCACCCAAAATGAACACTGCCCCTCTCGCTGGGCATGAGGTATGGAGACATGGGGTGCAAAGGTGAATGACAACCCTGTCAGCTGGGCTTATGAATCCTTGTCTCAGCCACCACCGTGAGGACAGTGACATTGTCAACACTGAACAGGCAAAACACTGAGGCCCAGAGAAGCGAACTTGCCAAAGCATTACGGCTACAGGAGGAACTGAAATTCAAACCCATCTGCTGCATAAACACTACATCCTATGGCCTCAAAGGAGGAGCCTGTGTGTGCCCTCGAGGAAGACCGCGTGCGGAGTGGAAAGGTCCAGGCTCCCAGTCAGAGTGCCCGGGCTCAACCTTCAGCACTTCCTAGCTGGGTGCCATTAGGCAAGTCCTTTAGCCTCTCTGAACTTCCAGTTTCTCCTCTAGAAAATACACAAAACAGGCCAGGTGTGGTGGCTCACGCCTGTAATCCCAGCACTTTGGGAGGCCAAGGAGAGAGGATCGCTTGAGCCCAGGGGTTCAAAACCAGCCTGAGCAACATAGCAAGTCCCCATCTCTACAAAAAATGCAAAAATTAGCCAAGTATGGTGGTGCATGCCTGTGGTCCCAGCTATTCAGGAGACCGAGGCGGGAAGATCACTTGAGCCTGGGAGATGGAGGTTGCAGTGAGCCAGGGATTGTACCACTGCACTCCAGCCTGGATGACAGAGTGAGACCCTGTCTAAAAACTAATAAATAATAAAGAAAGGAAAGAAGGCCAGGCGTGGAGGCTCATCCCAGCACTTTGGGAGGCCAAGACCTGAGGTCAGGAGTTTGAGACCAGCCTGGACAACATGGTGAAACCCCATCTCTACTAAAAATACAAAATTAGCTGGGCATGGTGGCAGGTGCCTGTAATCCCAGCTACTTGGGAGGCTGAAGCAGGAGAATCACTTTGATTTGAGAGGTGGAGGTTGCAGTGAGCCGACATCACGTGACTGCACTCCAGCCTGGGCGACAAGAGCAAAACTCCATCTCAAAAAAAAAAAAAGTAAGAAAATGGGCAAAACAGGACCATCTTGGCAGGATTGTTAGAACTGTGGAAGTAACTCATGAGCAGCCTTCGTAAACTCTAAGCCCACAGCCACAAGGATGACCAGGAGGATCTCCCCTTTCTAAGGGAGGGTGGACATGGAGGCTTCAAACTTCCCACAAGACGGGCCAAAGAAGCTGCCCCGACAGTCCTGCACTCGGCTGCCCTCTGCCCCCTGCGAGGGCCTGGCTCACCCTTCTCCACAGTGCCCCTCCACTTTCGGGCCCAGTCGGCCAACTGCTGGGCGTAGGCCTTCTCGATGCGGGCACGCTCCTGGAAGCAGCTGACCAGATCCCCGCACAGCCGGTGCCCGTCCTCCACCCGCTGCACCGTGCGCCTGTAGTTGCCAGCCTGGGCATGCAGGAGAAGGGTGCTGTCACCAGGGAGAAACCCCATCTTGGGCTGGGGATGTCGGTGGGGTTCCTCCCCTAGACAAGTAGCTGAGCCCAGCTGCTCACCTCCCAGAAACTGCCCCCTAAGGCCTCCCCTCCAGCGTCCTCTTCTGGAGCCATGGTGTCCCCGCAGCACGGAATGGTGGCAGATTTTGGGCTGTGGGGGGGCAGAGGGGTAAGCGGGAAAGCTAGACATGTGCTTTTGGGGATAGGAAAAGACCCTCTCTATCCCTGCGCCTCGTCCCACCGCCATCCCCACCACCAAGAAGCCTTCAGAGCTAGGACTTAGCAGGCAGAGCGCTGAAGTCCCCAAGAAGAACCAGGTTGGGCGAGGATGGAGCCTCAAAGCTCTTCCTCTCACGGCTCTGCCCTTCCCCCCTGAACCCCCACATACCTGGGGCCTAGAGATCACTTCAGGGACCCGGGTGTCCAACTCTCAACGCTGCCACTGTGACTCTGCCTTGAAGGAGAGCAGAGCGGGGGTGAGGGTGGGGGCCTAGAGCGTCCAGGGCGGTGCCCGGCACCCCCAATATAGCAACTGCTGTCAGAAGTGCCAGATTCCAGAGAGGAGAATGCCAAGCGGGTCACACAATCCAGCTGAGGATTAAATGGCAGGCGGGGGTGGGCGGTGGGCAGAGGGCCCCACTCCCCCAACTGCTGATGAGAGAAGAGGACTCCTGCCCCCATCAGGGGCTCTGTTGCCTTTCCTTGAGTGACAAGATGCCCCTATTACCCAAGAGGCCAAGTCAGAGGGTGCCTGGCCACATCCCAGTAGCTCCTTGTGCTGAAGAGGGCACGAAGGGAGCCAAGAGGCCTGGGTTCTGTCTTGGCCAGGAAGCCTGAACAAGCACATGTAACTGTCCCCTCCTAAGGAGGCCCCAGCTCCAAGATGGAAACTCCTCCATGTGCTCTGCTGCTATGCCAGGGCCGGTGTGAAACTCAAACCAAGCAACACACCAGAAATACGAGGGGCACTGCAGTCACAGGAAGATACTCATCTCACTCCACACATCCACTGAGGGCCCGCAGGGCTCTGTGAGGGACACACAACCTGGGCCTGCCCTCCAAAGGCCTGGCATCCGGGGTATCATGGGGAAGTGAGAAGCAATGGCCAGCTATAAGAACGTTCCCAGCTGGGCACAGTGGCTTACACCTGTAATCCCAACACTTGGGGAGGCCGAGGCAGGCAGATCACAAACTCAAGAGATCGAGACCATCCTGGCTAACATGGTGAAACCTCGTCTCTACTAAAAATACAAAAATTAGCTGGGACTACAGG